ATAATATGGATAAATATATGTTTTATAAGTAATCCAACCAATAGCCACTAAAACAAAATAACTAATTAGAGAACTCGAATCAAGCATTTTTTCTTTTCTTTTTTTTTTTCTTCGGTTAAAAAATACGATAAGAAAATTTACATGTATTTATACTGTATCTAATATTCGCTGATCGGCTTGTTGTGGTCAATCAACACAACAATTCGATAATAAAAATCGCGTAACATGATTATTCTGTTGACTTATTCGGACAATCCGTCCGTACTCGGCATCAATAAATTGAAACACAATATGTTGGCATATGATTTACATAATTTGTTATAATAATAAAATAATAAAATTAAAATTAAATTAAAAAAAATAAAAATAAAAAATAAATAAAAGTTAAATAAAATAACAAAAACAAAAAAAAATATTTTGAAGTCTCTGACGTCCGGGACGTTCAACATTGCAATAAATTGACCTCTAACTTTAGCGTTCGTTAATTTCATATTAGCCCAACTTGTATTTTTAATTAATATACTTATCAATCATATAACGAAATGATAAAAGGTCATATTTTAAGCTAAATGACAAAGTAAATGTACCAACACTGATAGGGATGGGCCGTTAATTAACCGTTGGTTTTTTTTTTTTGAATCGACCAATCAAAGATTTTTTTGCATAGCTAAATTTAAAATTATATAGTGATACAAAAAATTTGCAAATCATTAATTTTACCCATGATGCTTGCTCCTTTTTATCATTTAAAACAGATTCCGTCAGGCTTTTTATATTATGAAAATTAAAAACCAAATCAAGCTATTTTTCCGGACCGAAACTCTATGTTAAAAATGTTAAAATACGTCATTGGACCTTTTATTATCAAAAAACAAAGTTATGTTGTACATTACCAATTTATTTCGGAATTTCCTTTTTTACTTTTTTAAAAGTATTTTAATTTAATCTCATGAATAGTATAATTGAAATTCGGGATTTAGGTAGGTTGTAACCTTGGCTCCATAAATTTATTAAAAATAGCTTTATGTTCAAATTTTTTACATGATAAATAACAATTCAATACTTCCTTCTTGATATTTTATAATTTAGCAATGATGCAAGAAAATCAATTAAGAATTTGATCAATGCGAAAATTGAGCAATCTTCATAAATACTTATACCTCAAATCATTTAATTTCAACTTCAGACAACTTATAAAAAACTATTTTAACCAATCACAATATGCCAATTTTTTTTTCGTAAATACATTTATTCGTCGACTTATTAAAAATTTATATTTCAGATTAATAAAAAATTATCTTTTGGCTGAATTATAATTTAATTTCGCGGCATTTATTTATTAAATTTTATAGCATTTAAATTTCCAATATTTATTTATCTTTTTTTTTAATTTTCGATTTTTCTTTTTATATTAAGGATATTATTTTTTATTTTTTATCGTTTTACTATTTTTTTTTTAGGATTTTTGATACATTCGGGCTGGTGCTTAATGTAGGTTTTATTTTTTTATTCTTTTCGATTTTTTTTTTTCACTTTTTATTTTTAAAATTATAACGTAAGTAAAGCTTTTTATTTCATTTTATAATTTTCTCATTGTTAATATAAGTTTCATTTTTATTTTCTTTATTTATTTTTTTTTAATTTTAACTATTTTAATTTCGATTTTATTTCATTCAGGTTTTTCGACCGCGTCGGATGCTGCGTCAGTTAAATAAGTGATTTTATTCATTTTCATTTCGTCATTTTTCCAGGATTTTTTTTTAAACTTCAGTTCGAAGTGATCAAACTGAAAAAGCATAAATAACCATTCATAGCTTCCACTATATAAATTAGAATTACTTTCCCCAACATCTATATGACATAATTTTATTTATCACTTAATATATAAAATATACGCCATGTATTTGCGATGATCATCATGCATCGCCCATTGAATAAAATTTTTGCTAGGCGATGACGAACAAATTCGCTCATATCAAGTTTTACTGATTGATTATAATTAAAGTTTAAATACAGGTGCATTCTCACGATAAATTAATACACGTAACCTTTCTTTCATTTTTTATTCACACGCGTAAATATTACACGTCTCTCTTTCGCTTTTATTTTTTATTTTATCACAGTATGGATATATCAAACGAACTAAATTTTCCTAATAAACCTACTAGTGATGAAAACAAAGATTGTAGTAATGAAGTTTATTATTCCAGTATTCAAAATATTCGGATTACAAAACATCTTTCAAGATAGCTACTGAAGATATTAGTCTTGATACTACTTTTTCGTCTCGGGAAGAAGCTGAATTATTTCTTGAGGAATATGGACGTCGTAATGGTTTTGCTATAGATAAGTATCAGATGACAAGGAATAAATCAAATCAAAGAGGACATTTATGTGTGAATTTGGTGGTAAATTCAGGCCAAATAAAAAAGACGTTACTGGAAACCAAAGAAATACTAGAACCAAAAAACGTGAGTGTTTATGGCACCTAAACTTGACATTTCCAGAAAATGCCGTGAATATTAGTATTAGTTTGTTTGTAAATTAACACAACCATGAGCTAAGATCAGATACCATTGAATTTAGCAGCAAATATAGAGAAATGTCGAAAGAAATTATTTGAAATAATGACTAAATATGGCAATCTTTCTATTACAGTGCAACGTAATCTGTTAAAGGGTCGATTTTCGGATATCAATTATACAGATTCGGACTTGTCAAATGCCATACAAAGATTTAAGATTATCAGTAATAATAATACTGCACAATGTTGCATCTGATCTTCTTACCAATCTTGTGCAAAAAGAAAATCCAAACTTTTTTCTCAAATTAGAACTTGATACTGACAATCGTCTTGTGAGGGTATTTTGGATGACACCTGACCAAATTGTTTTATGAATTAAATATCATGATGTAATTATCAATGACAATACGACAAAGACAAATATGTATAATATGCCATTAAGTTTATTTGTTGGCTAGACAATAATAGACGTACAAGACTTTTTAAACAGGCTATAATTAGTGATGAGACATTTGAAACTTATGAGTGGATTTTGCAATGTACACTTGAAGCAACTAAAACACAACCAATAGTGTTTTTTACAGATGCTGATTTAGCAATGGATGCTGCGGTACCTTTTCAAATTTCTAACAGTTATCACGCACATTGCATATATCATATTAGTCAAAATTTGACAAAGAACTTAAAAGCCAAATTAAGAAGTTCATATAATGATTTTATTAGAAAATTTTTATAAGTGCCGAAACAGTCTTTGTGAAATCTTATTTTTTTCACGATGGACTAATTTGTTAGAAAATTTTCCAGCAGCTAAAGATTATCTTCTTAGTGTATTATGGCCAACAAATAAATAATGGGCACGATGTTATTTGAAACAAAGATTTACAGCTGGCATTGAAAGTACTTCTAAAGTTGAAGGAATGAATGCAATTATTAAAAAAACTGTTAGAAGTAATATCATCATAAGTCTAAGTTGCAAGACCTGACAGTAAAGACTTAATATATATATATATTTTTACTTATTATTACTGAAAACTGTGTGATTTTAGATTTAAATTTAAATTTTCAGATATTTCTTAGCTACTTTAATGTTAAAATACATTCGAATTTAATATTAAGAACTATTTTATCAAAAATAAAGTATTATATCATTCATAAATATTGTTATCTCGTTTTAAATTTTAATAAAATATAACCAAATTTTTATATAAAGATATTTGCTAAGTGAAATTTAAAGCAAGGAAATTGTTGTCATTGGAAAAACTTTTATCATTAAATACCAATGTAAAAAAAAATACACAAATACACTTTTGCATAATCAAGAATTTTTATAAGCAAATCCAAATATATATTTTTAGCTATTAAAACTTTAATTAAAATTTGACTAATCAAAATGATTAAGTGTGTGTGACAAGTTGAAAAAACTTTTTAATTTGTTGTCTCTTGTTATTTTTCTCTAATTTTTACCATTAAAGTAAAATTTGCTTATCTCTTAAAATCATATTTTGAAAATTTCAGATTTTTAAGTTTCATACTTAGAAAGATGTTTAAATATAATGAATATTTTTACTTTTTTTCAAATATAGGTTTAGTTACATAAAATAATTGCGTATTTTATAAGCAATTTTATTTTTTCATGAAAAACTATTTATAAAAAAAGGTGTTAACATTACTTTTTAATAGAATCAATAATTTAAAAGATGTGAAAAAAATTATAAAGCTTTATAATTTTATGATATAAAATTCCAATTATTTTAGAAATTAAATTTAGTAAGTTTTATTTTATTTCTTATGAACGCTTTTAAATTTTTTTTTTGAAATATACATTTAATTATAATTTTTAAATAAATCTTTAACTTAAGGAAAATTAGTTATCATTTATTTAGATTCTCTTAAATTTTATATTATCATACATATATTTGAAAATAAAAACAACTTGCTAAATATAAATATTAGACATAAATATTGTAAAGAAAGATTTTATAAGTTGTCTAAAGTAATTCAGATAGTCAAAAAAGGATCTGAAATTGGATTCCAGTTTCATTTAATTGATCTTTAAACCTCAATTTCAGATACCAGAAAATTATCTTAATTCTAACTTCAGAAGAAAACAATTTCAGTCTGTCACATCATCATCAAGTCATTAAGATGCTTAGTTTGATTCCTAAAATCAAAGTATAGCCATTGGCCTGAAATAAACACATAAAAAAATATTTTAATATATTTGACTTCGATTTTTTAGCATTAAAAAATATTTTCAGCTTTGCTATTAAAATCGTAGTAGAAAAATCCGTATAATAGCAAACCTTCGATTGCCAGAAAATTCAGTTTCTGGGAATTTTTGATATTTTTATTGCATTTTAATTTTTGATGTTATTAGGTTAAAATGCATTAAGCTCTTAATTTTAGTCAAATGTTCTCGGAACCTAATTTTCCTAGAAACCCTCCCATATATTCACATGTATAATGAACACATAAAAATCTCTAATAATTACCTGCCGTCATTAAGATTTAATGTATATATCTACGTCACAATTGAAATCTTGTTTAATTTAATTTTCATGGAAAGATCTATAATCAATTAATTTCATTATAACACATTAACGCCTTGTCGTTATTAAAGAAAGCCTTTGTTTGTTTTGTTACATGAAATTATGTAAAGTCAAATGTCGAAATAAATATATTCTTAGAAAATATCTCTTAATTTAAATTGATATATGTAGATTCAAGAAAACAAGAAAAATAAGAAAATAAGCTAAGATATTATCTTCTACATTTGTTCACTGGAAATACGAATTCAAAAATTGATAGTTTTCATTAATGTTGATTTTATATATCATTTATTCTAGGACTTTTGATTAGAAAAAATTTGAACAATTGCGGAGAAATCTATAAAGAGGCATATTTAAAAGAAGAGATCGCACACGATAAATACAGATATTAAGTTTATACATTAAAATTGTGCAAATAAAAATTTCATATCTAAACGTTATAGAATGAAATATTATTTGATTAGAAAATTGATTCTGCAAAAAGGGACAATTGTTTTCCATCTTATTTTTGTATAAATTATAATATTTCATATTCTTCGATACAAAAAAATCTTCAGTTTTTCTGATTGCTTCATAAAATCTATTTTACAGTAACCTTATTTACAAACGGATATTTTGAGAACTGTTTTTACCAAATGATGGACCAATGATTAATCCACTTGCTATTATGTTTTACCCGACTTATGATACAATTTTTCAATAGTTTCATTATCTTTAAAAGAAAATCATTTATTAGTACTGCAATAAGAAGGTATTAGGACTGTGCCCTCCAAGAATTTCTTTGCTAACTATTACTTTAAAAATAGTTATGGTATAAGTTTGTTTATTTACAAATATTATGGAATGTTAAGTTTGCAAATCCATCATGAGATCCACGAAATAATAATTTAAATTCATATAGAATTTTAATTCATCCTTATTAATTCAATTAATCCATTTGGAAATTAATTCAGCAAATTTAAACGTAATAATTTTTGAATCAATGTTTAAGCTAATTTTTTTAGTTATCTGATATTTTACTTGTTTTTTGTACATAATCATTCAAAGAAACATTTATTTAAATCTGCATATAATTTCCTCGGTAATACTTTCTTGTATGGTGGAACTTTGTGCAGCAATTCCCTGAACTAAAATTGTAGAAACCAATAAATGAATGTATTATCGTAAGGAATCCTTCAAACCATTGAAGTCATCTTTTGAATAACTAGAAGTATCTGAAGAAATTTCCATATTTTGAGCAATTCTCCATTTAAGAATATGTTTCCAAACTTGAACATCATTCATTGTAAGGTTTTCATTTTAAATTAAGATTTTTCCGAAATCGAAGTAAAATCAAAGTACTCAAATAATAATAGATGACCATTTCTTGAAGACTTAATTCATTGGCAGCAACCAAGATATTAATAATATCTGAAGTATCATAAAATGTATTTATGAAAAGAAAAAATTTTTATTATTCTTTCAAATTACCTCAAAAATTATATTAAAACTTTTCAGGTAAAATATTTGGTGATTTAATATGCACCAAATTTCCTGTCAAATAAGGAGAACAATAATCATATAAGTACGTAATATAGATCCTTCCAAACTTCAAATGATATTAAACATTCAAGTAAATTTTTTTATAATTTCAGTAAAAACTAATTATCAGCCATTATGATTTTTATCATGTCAAAAAATATATTTTCTCATGAAAATAATATTACCCTAATTACAAGTAATTTCGAAAATCAAATTTATATTGGCACAACATAACAAAACCACTCATGTAATTTTCAATAATGATAGTGTTATGGCGTTACGTTCGGATCGAGGTAATTTACTCACCAATGTTAAATATTTAAGTATAGGGATGTTAAGCTGTCCTAAGCGGTCCTTAGAAAATTACAAAGAATTAATTTTACAAATTTATTATAATGTTTTAATGAGCTAATTAATGAAGATAAATAATAAAACCTCTTTTAATCCCAGAATTTCTTAAAATTTAAAATTTTAGGATTTAGGACGGACCGGTCCTCTACTTAGCGGTCCGATCAAAATTGCCAATTTTAAAATTTATGAAATTTTTTGATGGGATTACTTATTATAGAAAAGTGTTTATAAATCTCAAATCGTTAGCAGATGAACCAAATGACTCAAATGACTGGTCATGTGTCAATTGGATCATTTAGAGTTATATCATGTGATCTAAATAATTCTGGTCAAAATTATTTATGTAATTTTAATTTTTGATGTTTTCAATAAATATTTCGCGTGATATAAATTTTTTATTCTGGCCAACATATAAAATTTGGCCTGAATTATGAATATTTGTCATCACTGTTAAGGACCTTAACATCCTTATTTAAGTATATATCAAAGACTTTTAATTACAGTAACTCTGTTCGGACACAAGGTCTGAATGCAAGGCCTTATAATACGCTCACGTGCAATAATAAACATTAAAATTAATTAACTAATTATAAGCTAAATAAATAATGAAAATGCGCTCTTAAGGCGTAGTCAATTAACGTCGGATAATAAATTTAAGTTCGTCAAAGTATAGTGAAAGGTCGATTTTGCGTGTAGAATTATAATGAGATACCATGTATAATTTCCAACTAAATTCATTGGTAAATATTTTTCAATAAACAATGAGACTTGTTTTACCATTTCAAAAAATGAATCTTTATTTTTTGTTGTGTGCGAACATATCCTTTTTCTTTGCAAACTATTGTTTGTTATAAGACTACTGCGGAAATGTTTTAGTATCATACATTAGTTAATTATGCGAATTAATTTGCTCATTTTTATTTGTTTATTATTTATTCACAAAGCCTTGAATTTTATGAATATATCTATTTAGAATTTCTTCAGATTATATGTTGAAAATTATGAATTGTATGTAGCTAATTTTTTGAAAAAATAAAATATATATAAACAAGTTTGAGTCAAGACTTGGATTCGTAATTTTTCAGCAAGGTTATAAATATCATTTAATAATTTCAAATTTAATAATACCCAACTTTCGAAATTTTTGAATTACTCTTCTATTGGTCCTTTGAATATCGGCAATTCCAATAATAAACAAAGAAATTGGATATTGTGGTGTAAGGTTCGCCCATCTTCTAAATACGGTCTTTGCTATTCGAAAAAAAATCCAATCCCATACTTTCCATTTTTAATTCGTGAAAATTTTTAGGTGAATGATCAACGATTATTTCTAATAATTTGCTTGCATTTAAACACTCGCCACCACACCAAAGGTAAATAAATGCTTTCCAATTGTTCACAACTGTCTAAGATTAATCTCATTGTTTCTGCTTCATCATCTTTAATGAGAGTACGTAATGATTTCAGATTTGGACAAAATTTGGCTATAGCCAAATTTAATGAATTGTCAATGATATTATTAAGATCAAGTTCCCATGAATTTAATTAAAGGTTCAGTAGGCATAACTTCATAACCAAATTTTAAGCTTTTCAAGTTGGAAGGGTAATGTATTCCAATTTTACAAAAGTTTCGATACGACTTGATAAGAAAATTTCTCGTAAATTCGAGAGTTTAGAAATAAATGATAATGGGATATAAATAATTCCATCCATGCGTAATTTGATTAAAGCATCATTAAGGCTTTTAATGGAGGAGGTACTCTCCACGAATCATGATTTTCAAACAATACGTACAAGTATGTTAAATTTTTCTGAACCGAAATCAGGTCTGTTAACCCATTTGAGATCACTTTTCCAAAAATTAGGTTTAGTGATTCTAAATTATGGCAGATTTGTGACATCTGATAGAAAATTTCTGAATCGATATTCGAACTACAGCCAAATTCCGAAAGGTTCCTTAAACAATCTATCGCTCCAGGGTATGTGATAATCGGTATGTTTGGAATGAATAAGCTAGAATAAAATTCTAGCTTTTTCAAAGTAATCTGAACCATGAGCATTTTAAATATTTCTCCATAAAATTCGAACCGTTACTTCACACCATTGACGATTAACTAGTAAGCATAAACGTAAATCCGTTTCATAATTTAAATATTCAAAAATTTCATGGGAGTTGACGAGGCATTTTGTATAAAGCTATCAAAAAAAAAAAATAAATTTATGTTTAAAGTTAAAAAAAGCGAGGATTTTTTTTTTTAAAAAGAAATTTTTAATTTATGTTACATTATTTCATGTTACATTGCATAATTCAAAAATTATAATTACTTAAATAAGTTCATTGTTATTAATAAAGTGAAATAATTTTAACAGCTAGGTCATAAAGTTTCTGAAATAACTTACGTTCTTATTGTTATAATGAAATAATTATGCTTTCAGTTTAGCCGATTTGCCGTAGGAAATGAGACTAAAAAACTCATTTTCTCGTTCGATATCCGAAATGAAGTAAAAAAATAATAATGATAAGTTGCTACAAATAAAGGATGAAATTCCCAAATATTATTAGAAATTACATGATCTTGTATAAAATCCAAAAAAATTTTTATTATGGTAAATAAATCTTTATTATTTTTGACGTTCAATTTGTGATCATAAAAAATCGCTAAGTAGAATCGATTAATCAAAACCGAAAATCGAGAAATTATTAATTCAATTAATCGGTTCCACTTTTTGAATCGATCCTATATCGTACTTCAAGTTCAAAATGAACCCAAATAATAATGATTATTATAATTAAAAGAAATACTTGACCCATTCGTTCCTTCAAATTTAAGACAATGCGAAGATTATTTTATGGATCTGGACTTAAATTATTTTTATTTTTACCACAAAAAATTCCACTCGCACGTGACTATTGGTCGGCATCACAGCATTAAGAAATTATTCATGTGACGAATAATAGGTGACAAATATTATTTCGCATCCCGAAAATTCTAAGTTTAATTTCTTAATGCCGTAAATGCGGGCCAAAGTCGCGTAAATTTTATACTACTACAAAATGCCCATATGTCCAATCTCTAAATTTCATTTTTTCGCTATTCTCAAAATAAATTATCCAATTTCCACACGCATAATTCATTCCTATAAAATTTATTTGTTTAAGCAATTCCGCTTACATATTAATGCTTCTCGCCGCTACAAATTATATCATTAATAATAACGTATGGTATATCGAAAGTAAAAAAAAAAATGTTATTTCCATTCATACTATTGTATTAGCGTAGTCATAATGCTTTATTAATAAAATAAAATTAGTTATAAAAATCAAATCACACAATTTCATTTTCATATATAATAGCTAAGGTTTTACAGTTTTTCTATGCATTGATATTTCTCAAAAAGATAAAATGGAAAGTTCCCACATATAATATAACAATATTAATCAACATAAAAATGCTTTACTTTTTGAAAAAAAAGACTCAATATATTGACGCGGAATTTTTGTTCTCCTTTCACAATCATCAATATCAAAATATTCAACACCATCTCGTTCTTCCATGATAATCCTAGCACGTTTTTTGCAATCTTCTCAATTCCAGACAGCTGAGTGAAGGTCGCTTTATTAATATCTGGTGGCCCCATGGCATAATTATAACATCTTCCAGCAAAAGGACCAAAATATTCTTTCCAGTTTTCTTTATTAACGATTGCAGACATTGGTTGGAGGTCAAGTTTCTGGCAGGATGCTGAGGTGTAAAAGATGAAAATATCTCCTGAACTAGTTGTGTTGTTATATTCTTCTTCAAAAATTTTCTGAGAAATGCTTTGTTCTCTCAATAATTTGCTACTGATGTGCCTCCGTTTGTAATAGTTTAGTCTCTGCCATATATATTGAACAAAAGCTATCTCCAAACTTAGCAGCAGATGCATTGATTATAATATGACTCGCATTTATAAGATCGACTCGTCCTTTCTGACACAGTATATTTCATTTTGATTCCTATAATCTTTAGACCTGGTGCTAAATCTTTCAACTGATTTTGATAATGTAAGTTGTCGATTCGATATGGAAACTTGGCCAAAGTTATGAGTGGCACCATTATGAATGACACTAAGATCAACTCGCTTATCATAATTATAGATATTCGATTTTAGAGAGCGAATTTGAGCGACAAAATACTCAAAATGTTGTTGCCAGTATTGGCAACCAGGTGGAATATTAGGCTCTCCCGATTCACTGAGTACTTCATTGTAGTAGGCAAAATCCCAACTCCTTAACAATGGATCATTTATATTTTCGTGGTATGCATGAGCCATAATCCATAGCCAAATGTACGGACATGATAGATAACCAACAACACGGTCAGGATCGGAACTCTCAAATCGGACTAGTCTATACTGTATTACGTCATCTACATTTATTTTTTGTCCATCAAGTTCAAAGATGGTTTGGTCTTTGTTAACAGATGTATGTGCCAGAATAATGCGGAGGATAGGTCTTAAATAAGCTGTTTTGGTCAACCAACCCGAATAATTATATGTAAGATTCAATCGCACATTGTTTATTAGATCAATATCTTTATCTACAACTGTTTCTCCCAAAGCCTCTAATGCATCCATGACCTCCAATGTCATCTATAAACATATTCATTGTTGAACTATCATTAAAAACTGGGATGTTATTTATTTTCGGGGTTGTAATGATGTAACTGGTAGAAAAATTCTTTTTTTTTGTGAACTGGCAAGGAAATCATGAATAGGTATACTAATGGTGGCCGTACATCAGACAATAACAAATGGGTCAGTAAATGAAAGAATGCCAAGTATGGAGATGCAATCGTAAAATAAATAATTTTTGCTTTTGTTTTTTCCATCTTTAGTATCATCCATTGCTACTCAGAATAATAATTACATTCAGATCCTTAACTTCTTGAGTACGATATTTGGCAATTCTACGCAATACATCTTCTAGTGTTACATTATATCTATTCTTAAAATCATTCCAAGAATCATTAGGCTGTTTCAGTAATTGAAAGAATATTCGATTACAAATTGCTTTAGAGCTCATAATCTCATCTCCCCGAATTAGTTTGGTCCCATTTTCAAACGATAAATTAAATACAAGAGCATCTTTAAGGCTATCAGCACATTCAATTAATAACCTTGGCAATTCTTGCGCAGTTCCTGCTAAAATGAAATATTCTGGTATTTTTGTTTTTTTCACGTTGTCCAGTTTTCCAAAACTTGTAATGATCATGAATTGCTTCCTTAAGTTTTTTTCTCAAAGCAATTGAGGCTTTAAAGTCCCAAATGGAACAACCACCTATGAGAAGAGGATAAGGATTACGAAATTCTAATTGATCTGGCAGCTTTTGTGCTTTTAAAAATAAATGACATCAGGCCAAAAATCTATATATAATAAATGCAAATTTTATTCGAGAGGTAAATTACTTACCAGTGTTAGTAATGATGTGAATGTTACTCACTGTAAATTTTACTATACCATCTTCAGTTAATACATTTTTATCTTTAATCTTTTCTTCATCGAAATTAACTTTTCAAAGTTTCAAATCATCAGAATTATCAACTTTTTTCTTCTCGCAGATAAAATCCCTGAGGAGAACAACTGTTAATATGTTTAAATTGATTATTTGCTGACCAAATATTACGAATCATTCATCTTTGTCTTTGAAAAACGCAACCGGAAAAAGGGAAGTGTTGTTAGTATTTCTTAGAAGTAAACAATTAAATGACTTTTCCATTTTGATGATATTACTATAAAGTAATAAAATAAGTTTTAGTTTATGAAAGTAGTTTTGAGAGCACTTTTGAGAAAGTTTGAGATTATATAAATACCATAATGACTTTCTAAATATATAGTGACTAATAATAATAACATAGACTCTTGATAAACTCTTGATTTGTGGCTTGTTATGATGAAATGCAGCAAAAAATTAAGTATAGTAAAAAAAATAATTTCATTAAATTTATACGAAAAAAAATAGTTTATAGCGAAAAAAATTCTGAACATTAATGATAGAAAAATGATGACAAACTGATTTGCATTATCTTCTCAAAACACATCCCAAAAACAGAATAATTAAAAATCTTATAAATGTTGAGATACCAATTGGATTAATGTGTGTAAATAATAATGAATTCCATAGAAATTTTTTTGCAAAGGCATGCAGTTACGTAAATTTTAACGATAATATTTTTTTTTATAAATTTTGGCGATGCCAACCCCAAAGATTAATTATCAATTACTCACATCTAACTCTTGAAAAATATACAAATCGAACTATAACAATGGAAATTTTTTTATTTCGACACGATAAAGATAAAAAAAAAGCCAAATGCCTTAAGTCTGTTTTGTCATAAAAAAGTATTTAGCAAAATTTTGTGTGACATTTGCGAACTAATTTGTATAGTACAACAAATTACACATTTGATAAAAGACCACAATTGTAAAGAAATTTGCACACAATTTTTAAGAAATAATTATTAAAGTTATCCGGCTAAATAACAGTTGAAATTAACCGTAATAATTATTTAAAAGTTAATAATTAGTTGCATCTAATCACTATTAAATGTCTTTTAAATGTTTGTAATGGTATATTATTATTTCTATATTTTTCGTTGATTTGTAATTTAATTATTGTTAGCTTATTTTGCTAATTTATTATTCTACTCTTTAATTTAACAATAAAATTCACGTACAAAATTATTCAGTCTATTTAATATCACGTCTTGAAGGTATTTTAATTTCGATGTCAAAAATTCCGAAAAAAACATTAATTTCCGAATGTCATAACCCAATATTTGACATATAAATCACATCTTCGCAACATCGTTACTGCGCCCTTTGAATATATAATCTTTTTGCATATATTTTAATTAACCTCTTGAAATTTTCTATTTTTAACATTATTAAATGATATTCGGGTATGGATGTTGTTCTTCGGGATAATGTAAATTCGTGATCATGTGATTTATGGTATACAGATATATTCCGTCATGTTAAAATATTTTTATTATGAGATGGATAAAGGGTTTTTTTGATTAAATGACATTTCAATCGCCTATTGGTTTTGTTAGACTCGACTTTAATTTGCAAAGTATCGCGTCTAAATTTGCATTCCATCAATAATTACAGCAGCTATATTTAAGGATTTTGAAAGCCAACCACATTTATATATATGTCGCTATATTCGGAACATTGATCTGAACGTAGCAATTATGTTTTTTCTTCAAAAAATTCTATACCGAGTTTTTTTATCTATCTGCAAAATGATCGTCCGTCCCGTGACTTTTGAAATTAGCATTACGAAAAGGAGTAGAGTCAGGTGGAGGTGTTGAGTAGAGTATATCATGTGTTGTGATGTTGAATATGGTTTGTCATACTGAGTTAGGGTTAGATTAGGATTAGGTAAGGGTTAGGTTAGTATTAAAAAATATACTCAACATCATAACACGTGATATACTCTACTCATCACCTCCACCCGACTCCACTCCTTTTCGTATCACTCTTTTTTATTATTCCCGACAGTTTACTACTTTAAACCAAAAAAAATAAAATTATAAATCGCAAACACACTATCACAACCACAAAAAATGGAGCTCATCTCAAAAAGTTTTCAATATGCAATTTGTTATTATATAAACCCAGTTCCAAATGCTGCACAAAAAATGTATGATTATAAAACCTGTACGAAACTGTTACCTCTTAATTTAGCAATTTTATCATTAACAATGATATTTATTATTGATATAAAGAGAAATTCATTTAATTCAATAAGTTTGCAGTCAGCAAGAGAGATTCCGTGCAAAGATGTAGTTCTGTTGTGTTGGTTATAACAATACAATTGAACCATAGTAGCCTGGGAAAACTCTCGAGTTTCGACGTGATAACTGACAAAACTATAATAAAATCTTACTCGAAACCATAATAAATCCCGTCAAAAGTCAAAATTATATTAAAGGTTTATTTAACAAATCCGTTGAAATATAGGGTTTCGACTTTTGGAAATGAGATTTTCCGGGTAACTATACATTGATCTTAGCTTGATACTGAGGTTCTAATAACTAGGTTATCAAAAGAATGAAACTTAATTCATTAATACTTTAAAAAATTATTCCATATTAAATTTAGTCTATTATATTTATTGTATCACCCAAATTGTAGAAAAAAGACTTGTGAGAGGCAAATGGATAATATTCGTGCATGATAATGTTCATAGGATTCCCTTGTTTAGTACTTACAAATCTCCCTTTATTCCTTCAAAATCGTGAAACAGCTACCTTGGTTCTCCGCGCTCCAAAAAAAAAAAGAAAATAAATATGTGCTTACGCATGGAAAGATGCGCAACATAATTCCTTTATTAGAGTTAATTTTCCATGACGACCAGCTAAATTTACAAAGAACCAAAACGATCTTATCATTGCATAAGATTAAGATTCCTGAACAGAGCATATTAGGTAATAATTTACAACAACATTTGAAATGCATGCACACCCCTGCATATTGCGCAGTACGCAATAAATGTTTTATTTATAATTTTATTTTGTTGTTAAAATACTTTTTCTAAAATATTCTTGGAACAGGCGAGTTTTAAATACTTTCAAATCGCACTATTTCAAATAATTTCGTTTCAAATAAATTAAAAATTTAAAAAAAATCGTGATCGGCCGTACTAATTAAATATTTCTGTGCAATCTTCATGTGGGTTATAAGACGAACACTAATTCGACAGCCTTTTCCGACAACATTAAAATGGAACTCCCGACATATGATGGAAATATCCATCCAAATATATGGCTTAAACAAGTTCAAGCGCATTGTTTTCTTAAACAAATAACAAAAGACGAAGAAATCCTTAAATTTGCAAAGTTGGTGATTAATCCTACCATTGATATTCCTAAAGACATAGCTACTTTAAATGAACTAGTTAATGCACTTAAAAAGGACATTTCCTTTACAATATTCAAGAATACGAATGTATGGAAATTACAATTATTAAAATACGTTCCTGATAAAGAAGGAGGTGAAACTTCAAAATTTATTTCAAATTTTCGGCAATTATGTTATAACGCAGAAATTAATGATATAAAGGAACAAATGAAATACCTAAGTCAATCGTTTCCAAATGGTTATTTTTTAACTGAATTTTTTAAGAGGAGAGAAAGAATTAATCATATGAATGTATTAATTAAAGAATTTGAGGAAATCGTTATGGATGAGTCAAAATTAATCAAAAACGGATCTTTTGTAACATTTAAACATGTTACTACAGGAAAATATTTAAGTTCAATTGACAATTTATGTTATACAACCGGAAGCAGGTCTCAATTGGTATGCATTTTTTTTTTTTTATCAAATTAATCTTTATAGATAAATTTTATGACTCTTAAACATAATAAATTTAGGTTTTTGCAAATAATTTACTTAATACGGATGTTTTATGGAAAGTCATTTTCACGAGCGATAAAGAATTAGCTTCATACTCCGATACGATAAATTTACGACACAAAAATTCTAATAAATTACTTGGAATTCCTTCATATTATAAATCTCCAGTAACTGGGCACACAGAAGGTAATCATTAATTTCATTTATTTTTGTTAAAGCAATTTATATTGTCAAATGAGGTTTAAGATTAATACTTTATTTTCTTTAGTGGATTTTTTAGGTTATAATACCCAATGGAAGTTTAAAAAGAGTAAATTAAAAAATTTTCAAGGATATTTGAAATCAAATACCATTATTAACATTCTTAATTCTTCTAATCAAGAAATTTTACGTAGTCATGATTTTCAATTTACTATTAATAACGATAAATTTCAAGAGGTTGTTTGTCATTTAGAAAGACTAGGGGGCAATGATAAGGTAATAAATATGTTTTTTATTTTGTGTGTTTGTATTCTAATCTATTCATATAAATTAATTTTTTTTCGTATTTTCTTTTACAGTGGTGTATTGAACTTTATGAATGAGCAAATTTATCAATAATTTTATATCACGAGATTTTCTGTTCATTAATAGTTAAAAAATTTGTACCTGTTATTTTAATTTGTCAAATTAATGGACTTTGTAATTTAGATTTGATTTTTTGGCAAAATTCATCTTTTAAAACAGAATCACAAGTTTGATCGTCACATCAATTATTTGCATTCTTTTAAACTTTGACTTAAGTAATATTCATCAGAATAGTAATTTATCCATGGTAACAACGAAATTTATGAAATCACGTTCTTCATTAAATATAATTTTATTACAAAAATTTATTCAAATAAATCTTTTATTATACGTAGTCTCAATTGACAAAATCCATTAATGTAATGCTAGATCTTTATTAAATACTTACTTTGACTTTTATGAAGACTGCTGAAGACCGTTAACTTAATTTTTTTAGCCGAATAAATGTTATTTGATAAATTTAAGAATAAATATGCAAATTAAAAGGATTGCTTCATTTTATTTCATAATAAAAAAGACTTTGTCCTTCATACATAAAGCAAACATGAGAATTTGTCACATGTAAGCCTGACCCAATCTTCTGCAATTTTTTTTTTGATATGTTTTGCAATGAATGAATGACTTATCATCAATACTTTGTCCATTGCTAACATATTACAACGCGATTGAGACAATAGTTGTGCATTTCACAATAGAATACGGATTTTTAGCTTTTATAATGTTTTAGTGAAACGTAATTTTCTATTGTGTCAACATGTATACAATTGCCACCCCGCGCAAATTTTTGGACGGATCAAGGTGGGCAACAGACTCAAAGTTCGAATTTTTGAGATTGCATGTGTAAAAGGAAGTCAATTATTTCTTAAAATATTAACTAGGATGGCCTGAGCGTAATTCAACGATCAACCCCACTGACATAGCTGGAGCAATCAAACCTAAAAAAAAATCAATGGAAAGAACAAATAATTAAAAATAAATAAATGAATTATAAAACGAATAGGATGTAAAAACGAAAAATTAAATCATTCACCTAAAACGATCGAAATTTAAATAAAGATACCAAACTTGATTGATGTCTTATCAATTCAATGCTAAAAATAGCGAAAAAATAAAAAAATAATTTTTTTATCTTTTATTTTGATCTAATCAGTTTTTAAGTTAGGAGGAATTTTCTTGAAAACATAAATTTCAAATTTCAATTTATTATGTAAGCAACCTTCATTCGTAAAGTTTATTGCAATGGCATATTACAGTTTATCTCATGGTTACTAATGGTCGCCTGTGATTTTTTATATTGATATTTTAATACCAGTGAAAATATCAAAGTTTA